TCATTTTATTTTCCAAAATAATAATAATAATAATTAAGTTAAGGACCTGAGCAACATACTTCTTTTTCTGCTTTGTTCTTGAGAAACCAGGCCTGTGCTGGTCAACATACATAAAAGAATTTCAGAGAGAACTGTTCAGGATGGAGCTTCTTTTCGTGGGCACAAAAGCTTATGATACCAGCTATATGGTTTGTTAGTCTATAAAGTGCTACCGAACCATTTGTTGTTTTTTAAGTTTACAAGGAAAGAACTGAGCTATTGGACAAGTTTATTTCAAATATTTAGTAATAATCACTATATGCCTTTCCAATAGATTGATATGTAACTACGTTCTGGGACAGGGAATAGATGGAGTAAGGATGTCAGATAATTTGGGTTTGAGTGAGAGTAGCGATTGATACTCCAACTGCTTGTGGGCGGTGGCGAAAGGATACAAATTAGGGATGTAAAAGCTTACCTGTTCCTGTTAATTGGTTGGGGCTGGAGCAGCTTCCCACCCCTGTTCTAGACACTGCTGCTTGTGCTTTTTGTACATCTCTGCTCTGATTTTGCCACATTTCTGTGGTGGTAGTACAATTAGAAGCAAGGCATTTTAGGAGATTGTCCTTAAGACTGAGGGGAACTTCTCCACCCCAATACAAAGGTGAAGTCTCAAACAGGGATATTTGGGTTGGTAGAGTGTGCAACCTTAATCTCATGCTCTACTCTGCTGCCAACTCTCCTCATACAACACGATGGCTAAAAGACAGCAATATTGCTGTCTTTTAGCCATCGTGTTGTATGAGGAGAGTTGGCAGCAGAAATGCTATAGGCTAGGCTGGGAATCTCATTTGTATCTCCTCTTTCTAGGCATTGCAGTTTGCAACATTCCTTCCTCTTCTGTGGAGGAGACGGCTGACTCTACCCTCTGTCACATCTTGAACCTGTATCGCCGGGTTACTTGGCTTCATCAGGCTATGCGGGAAGGAAACCGAGCCTCAAGCATGGAGCAAATTCGAGAGGTGGCAGGAGGTGCTGTGCGTATCCGTGGTGAAACTTTGGGCATCATTGGCCTTGGTAAGAAATGGTGACTGTTAAACTAAACAGGGAGCCTTGAAAGCTACTGAGAATGTTGGTGTCACTTGCTGGCTCAGAAATAGATAGTTACAGTGGCTGTTAACAAGTGCAACACTAGCTAGATTCTGTAAACATCAGACTTCTAACTTATATCACCAGTGCCCTAGGCTGCAATGCTGCTGCTCCCAGAAGTTGGGCAGTAGT